GTGTACTCTCCCCGTGTATGTTTTACTGTTGCTATGTGCAGTCCTTGGCAATAAAGTTTCATATCCGCAAAGAATTTTCGAAAAGAACGAAAAATAAGGAGGCAAAGCAGACAGAAACGAAGTAGAAGAAGTTGCCGTGTTGGAAAAATAAGAAGCAAATCATTTGAAAAAAAAGCAAACAGTGTAAGTCGCAAAAAATTTCAATCAATAACAACACTTTTGAAATTATCCTGGACGTTTTGGTTTCAATTACTTAACCTTGATGAGTAGATCGTTACAAAGATTTGAAAAACAAAAGATAAGATGTTGAGTGTTATGTACTTGGTGCCAATACGCTGCGATGATTGGAAAGGGTTACAACAGATATGACATTGGCACCCATGATTGACTTAACTTAAGCCGATCAGGATTTTTTTACCTATGTCAGTTCCCGATTGCATTCACTTATCTTCCGCAGCGGTCGCATATTTCTTTGATCTTTTTATTCGTGTCGATTATATGATGTTGTCTGTACCCAACCTGATTAGTCTCCTTTTTTTTCCTGGTCTCTTTATTAATTGCAGTTATTAGAGAAATAAGAAACAAGCGTATTACTCTGGGCGTAGAAATGGAGTAAAATTTAATCTTCTCTTCAGCCGTACTGGTAGCTACATGCAACTTATTTGTAAAAAATATTTGACAATAATGGTAAATAAAAGAGTAAGATAAGAAAAAGCAGCGTAGCCAGATTTGTTAAGTGAACTCATCATGCAGAATAAAAGCGCTTTTGCTTGTACAAATTCGTTTTATTTGTGCCTCGTTAAAGGGAACATCTTTCTGGACTGGTGATCCGTTTTTCTTGTCAACGTTCCAAACTAAAGCATTCTAATTCTTTCCCGAGTGTCTAAAATAATTGCGTTCGATTCTCATAGCAAAGAAATAAGTTTTAAGAGAGGTACAATTTCGTTGTTTTCAATTATTCACGTAGATAAGTATGATTAATCTATCCTCTACGGATATTCTTACTAATGGTTGCGACAAATAATCTTGAAATATTCAGTCTTATCTCATTTAACACAATCATTCACGTTGAAGAGAATCAAGATAGGCAAGAAACATTGCTTTCTATCATCAATCATGTCAAGTGTTTTCAAGATTGGAAGAGTGTAACCAATGTGCAGAGCAAAGATGAAAATCCGGTCGATTATTGCTCATCCTTAGTAGTCAATTAGGTCCACACGTAGCCTCTTCCATTCATAAACTTCGACAAGTCTCAGCAATCTTTATCACTTTCATAGACAAGGAGAACTATGAACAACTGGCACATGAATTGGACAAGATAGGGCTGTTTTTGACAAATTTTAGTCGTGTTAAGCCGCTGGTTCAGATGAGAACCATTGGTAATGAACTGGAAGGACCGATTTCTTGAACCAAAGTATATCATGAGAAACAGAAGAAGATGCAAGATCCATTGTTAATCAATATGTTTACTTCACGTAGCGATGCCAAGCAGTCTACAACAGGAATAAATGGTCAATAGGCTTTTCATGAATTAGTTTTCTATTGTCATGTTCGATTGAAACCGAATGAGATGTAGAATAAGAATACGATGGTCACTTTGTCAGACTCAACAATCTGTGTGAATTTCAAAACAATTTCACATGCCGGAAGGCTTTGTGGTGGTATAGTCGTGATTCGTTCGTCTACAAGACTTTGAATAAAACTCTGCGCAAGCAAATTATTCATATGGTTTTCTTGTATCATCCATTCACTGTCGATACATGTCGTCAGTTACAATATTATCAATCTCGACACTCTGTACGTGTTCGTCGAAATCAATTGGTGTCAACCGAAGAATTAGACGAACAGACACAAAACCTGGGCCAGCTTGTTTCCGTGAATTCACTTGTTTTCACCAGTAAGCAATGTGAAATAGCTGATTTTTTGTTTGATGAAAAGGCTGATCAGATCAGCTTAGATCAAATTATGTTCGAGATTGATACTGATATCAAGGTGATTTTGATGAAACCATTTGCTGACACTAGAAAATTTAATCAATTAGACAATCCGAGGTGTCCTTTATGCTGGTTCCATTTTCCATCTCGATTCTATCGACTATAGTGATGATAGAGTGTGAACAATAGGCATGCGCTTTTGTGATGATAACGAACAAGATTCGACGGAAGTTCTTGCAGACATAAAGAAGCACAATGGCGTCGAAGATAAAAGCTTGTAGACACTGGGCAAGTTGTTATGGACAACAGGAAAACTTGATCTGACTGAGCAGCAATCTAGTCATTTGTTATAAGAACTTCCGAAAAAATGAGCCTACAGTTCATAACTTGTAGGTTGATCTCGGTGTGATTACTTCGCAGCGAGTTGATTTCAACCAAAGTGTGCCATGGCGCCAAAAATCACTTGAGACCAGAGAACACACGGCAGAATCCGATAGCATCAAGAAAGGTAAGACAATTGAAGTTAATTGTAGGCTTCACGAACGAGGATCAATCATTATTCAGTGAGAGGTTGGTCTCAAAAAGGATAACAATATTTTCTGAATAGTGTGGGCGTAAATGGGCTATTCTGTCTCACTTACACACAGCTCACATACCTATCATAATATTAAAAGGTCACAGAGTTTTCAACTAAGGTAATTACTTTGATCATCAATTATCTGATTTTCGAAAAAATATTAGCTTTTTTCTGTGAAATCGAAGAATAAACTACCTAAGAGAGCTGGTATATGCTAAATAACTTGCCTATATGTACTAAATTTTTCAGAGAATTCTAGTAGTTTCGAGTCTCATTTTTATGATAATTTTAGTCACATATGTAAAAGAAGTAGTATCCATTAGTGAAAAGCAATCGCAAACGTGTGTAAATCTAGATAAATCCCTTCTATTCTACCGTTGAATTATATTAGAGAATGGTATTTCGGAATTGCTTAAAAAAATTCTATCGTTACTGTGTGTTGTTATATTTCATCGAGTATATGTACAGCTTATATATAAATAGAGTACTTTTATGACTAAAAAATCACATCAAGAAGAAAACACACACTTAGTCCTAAGTGGCATACAGCTTTGCAAAATATTTTTACTACCGTTGGGCTGAAACCAGAATAGTCTGACCCATGAGACATAGAAAAGTGTTCACACTTCATGACCATGTGTGCCCTATGTATACTGAAAGTAGCACGCTATGGAAAACATACACAGATTATTCAATGATGAATAAAGTGGTTTAAAGATAAGATAGCATTGGACGTAGCAGAATAATTGAGGGCGTTTGTGTGACTGTGCGTGTCAGTGTAAGTGTGTGTGAGTGGATGAGTGTGGATGCGGGTGGGTGTGTGATTGTGTAGCATGGTTGTAGGTCCAATTTCTCTCTAAACCCACGCAACCACACCCATGCCTACCAACATGTACAATCCAAACTCGTACTAAGTCACACCCACAAACCCGATACGCACACTCACACAAACACTTTATCCACAAACACCCTCTCTTGTTAGGAAGTCTGCTAAAATACATTATTTTTTCGCTCAGATCTTAATTGATATGTATAAAGCTCCAAAACCATCAACAAGGTAAAATTGATTTAGCATTATCATTTCATAAGTATTTTTCTTCGTAGAAGATAGTCGTCCGCAGAGAATTTTTAATTCAACCCGATGGTGACTTTTACAACCAGAGTTAATGATTTGCTTTGAGTACAATACGAAGCAAAAGAAAAATAGGTTTAGATCTACTAATATAAGTAAATTTTCATATTTGATCCAGCGACAATGACATTATTGATCTGTACGACTGCGCCAAGGTCTGTCAGAACTTCATCTTCATATAAAAATGATCCATTCGACTAATATCTGCGAATGCATCAGCAGTTTTTGCCATGTCTATGAAAATGTAGAACAGCACTGGTACCGAATTGTAATCGCCATATACGTTAACTAAAGCCATTCGTGCAATGAATTCATGATCAATGTTTATCGAAGCAAATTGATGAGTCAAGGAAATTCCTGTGCATAGCTTTGAATTCACTGAACCTCTTTTAATTGTTCAATAGATATGATTCTTGCGTGTAAGCGCAGGCGTTAGTGTTGGCGTGAATATTAGTGTGTCTTGGCATAGTTTTGAATGTGAGTGTTAGTGTGGCCTGGTAACTGAACTCAAGACTCACATCTACACCCAGACATATCTTGATTTCGACAGCCCCATGCACACCTACTGGTGCACCTATCTACAGCCATATCCAATAATATTCAATGCCAATGGCTAGCAAATACCATTCAATACCGATATCATTTAATACCAAGACTACTCAGAGTGTGGGTGTGGGTGTGGGTGTGCAGTGCAGCGTGGTTGTGGGTTTGATTTTCTTCTGAATTCACGCAATCGCACTGAAGATCCACCCCCAAGCCCTCGTGTACGGCCGTATCTTAGAGACTTACGTTCGTTTGCGACATCATAAATGTCCACAAACGATCTTTTCTAATAGTCGTAGCGCTCGAACTATTATCCGTTTCAAAATAGAATGTCCGCCGCGGTTTTTTGAATATCTCAAGTCAGGAACAAGCTAGAGACCTGCAGTTTTCACCAGTCAAAAGAGGAGACTAAGGGACATCTTTCTCTCCGATAATGTGTAAGATAAATTCCTTTTAAAACTAATTATTCTCGAAAAACATGTAAAAGAAGGGATGAAAATTACCTGTCATCTAGATAAAAGTTTGATTTTGACCTTTGATTTAGATAGAGGGACTTCAGATCTATAGGTCAAGATATAATACGCTTCCTTTCTTTTCATCATATTTCCATCGCAATGTCGAGCTATTATGATAAAAAGTGAGAAAGTTTAGTAAAAAATTAGCAAAAATTCCTATTATTTGCGCATATAAATATATGATGCGATTTGCCCAATGTTGGAATGCAATAAGAGAACCATTTGTATTGTATCTTGAACTATGGATCTGGAGTCTCTCTATCTAAATCAAAGGTCAAAATCAAACTTTTATCTAGATGACAGGTAATTTTCATCCCTTCTTTTACATGTTTTTCGAGAATAATTAGTTTTAAAAGGAATTTCTCTTACACATTATCGGAGAGAAAGATGCCCCTTAGTCTCCTCTGTTGATTGGTGAAAATCGCAGGTCTCTAGCTTGTTCCTGACTTAAGATATTCAAAAAACAGCGACGGACATTCTATTTTGAAACGGATAATAGAAACAACCAACCAGTTTTTTTTTATTTGACGATATCGATAAGCAATTTAGTCGGT